GGTCGACTTCGACTTTCGGAATAAAAATTTGAGACTTTGGCGACCTTAGGGAAAACCCTAATTCACTGGCTCTTGCTCTCTCTCTCTCTTGCGCCTCGCTGCTCTCTTCTCACAACTCTGTAGAGATTCCGGAAGCCTTCAGTGATCAGAAGCAGAGCCGGCGCCGCCGCCACCCCTTCGGCCGACACGCGTGCTCCCGCCGCTGGTGCCAGCGCCGGCCGTCAAGCGGACTAAGAGCGGCGCCGGAGTGAGGAGCTCCGAAACCCAAAGGCCCCTAGATCTCCGGCCTCTTCTCCACCATTTTGTTTCTCTGAAATTATGAAAGCTGCTGGTCCCCTTCTTCTCGTGGAGTCGAGGCGGCGGACAATGTGTCCAATGGTGAAGTTTGCCGTTTCCCCTTCCCTGTTTCTTTGATTGGATTTTTCTTCTTTTCTTCTCGGATCTATCCAATTTCTACCTTTTCTTTTTGGATCTATCCGATTTAGGGTTGGGGATGGGGATCGAAGTTAGGGTTAGGGTTTCGGGTTTTGTTAGGGTTTCACTATTTATCTTCCCCGTGAAGTCTTCATGGGTTTAGGGTTCAGTCTCTCACCTTCTTAAGGCGAAACCCTCTTCATCTTTAGGTTTTCCTTAACTTGATTAGGGTTAGGGGTTCAACCGAACCCTTTGTCTTCTCAGATTGAACCGGATCGACCTTTCTCTCTTTTCTAACACCTCTGCCGAGATCTACACCTAGGGGACCGGCTCTGATACCATTGTTGGAGCTGTAGGATCACTAGGATCATAGATCTAGCCGATAGAGTGATTCTATTCGGGATAAAAGACGCAGTACATCCTAATACATATAGAACTAGAATTTAGAGAGGAAAGGAGAAGGTGTTGAATATCGACAATGAGAGGGAAGGGTTTAGAGGACGCCATCACGTTTCGTCGGTGTATATTGCGTCAAAGTTACGGTCGGTGAAGAAGGCGGTGAAAGACGTTGACGTCGATGGAAGCGAAGCGGCAGTGGTGGTGGCTAAGTATATTTGGCTGCGCCTCTCTATAAAAATCGGGTTAGGGTTTTGGAATCGGTGGGGAGTCGGCCAAAGTCAATACGTGATTAGAGCCGCCGCCCCCATCTCTTAGAGCCAATAATTGATCATAGGGGCCCTCCCGGCCATGGTGAAGGGGGCGCCCGATGCGTGAATCAAAGGCCCAACCGAGCCGTTGGGTCCGATTAGAGATTAGATATCAATCTAACACCAAGACGGTTGGTGCGTGAAGCGGCGCTACTCAAGGAAAACTCTAGCATCGAAGTCCACCTCGTGGTTGCCCGTCGTCCACCCAAAATGCGATTTCTTTCGGCGAAAAGGCCCCACGTGTCCCACCGGTTGTTGTCAAGTGAGTGCTTGTCGGCGACGATAGGGAAAATTTCTTTGCGTATTCGGGTGGGACTTGTAGTGCGTCGATGTGCTGTTGGAGTCGGGCGTCCGGCCTAGGTCGCCGATGAGCTAGACACTCAGCACGTGGTATCATCTTACGAAAAGTTAGGGGGTTTCTGCAAATGTACTTTGGATTTAAGGTTAAATAAATGTGTATGGACCTGCAGTGAATCATTTAAAAGTTCATAGACCAAAAAATACAGTTTCAAAGTTGATGGACCTAAATGACACCTCCACGAAAGTTAATGGACATTCGGTGCATTTTACTCAAAACAAAAACATCTAGTAGTTTGGAATGGTGGGAGTATGTGCCAAAAGTTAATACAATTAGAAAAATTATCTTAGAGCCAATAATTAGCTCATAGGGTGCCCTAAGGCTAGCTCCAATGATGTTTCTAAGGCGGCGTCAAGATGAAGAGAGAAAAAAGAGCAAATGCGCAAGACGTTGGAGCGATGGCGCTAGTAAGGAAAAATCTAGCATCGAAGTTAAAGTATGCTACCGGTGCAAAGATTAAAAAATATTTCTTTCCTAAAAACTGACAAGAAACAAGTGTTGTGCATAGAAGACAAAGGGAAATTTTCTTTGATTATTTACAAAATGTTGGGTCCCGCAAGTTTTAACTATACCTTGGAGAAAAAGTTTAGCGCGTGTTTAGTTTCAAAAACTTTTTTCAAAAAGTGCTACAGTAGCTATCACATCAAATCTTACGATACGTGCATGGAGTATTAAATGTAGACGAAAAATAACTAATTGTACAGTTTGGTTGGAAATCACGAGACGAACGTTTTGAACCTAATTAGTCTATGATTAAACAATAATTACCAAATAAAAACGAAAATATTACCGTAGTAAGATTCCAACTCCCCCCTTCCCCCACACCACACCCCACCCCACCCAACTAAACACGGGCTTACTGAGCTAGACACTCAGACGTGGTATCATCTTACCAGAACGAAGTAGCCTACACATTAAAGCAGGTATAAAAGTCGGATAGTCTAACACTGGAGTGAAAACCCATGAGGACACCAACAGCCTGTTCGCTTGCTCGTAAACGATCGTAAATTTCTAGCTGGGAACAGTGTTTTTCTCTCACACCAAACCAGCCAGCAGTAAATAATCCATGATACAATACGGCCTCCCGAACAGGCTGCAAATTGCCTCTGGTTAGGCCATGCACAGCGTGCGCGTTTAAGGCCATGCCCGGACACATGAGCATGTTGGGCTGTTTGTCTGGTAATCCGTACTTTTCAGTTTGTTTTTTAGTTAAAACAATATTTTTCTCTCGTAACAAATTAATTAAAATAGTATTTCAATTTGTTTTTTTCAGGGAAGCGAACAAGACCTTTGGTCACCACATAGGCCTGTAGCTCGGATACCTAGATGTAGGAGATTGCTAAAAGGTGGCTTCACAATCCATCAAAGCTCAATAAAACTAATGTCCACTCGTGCAAGAGGTGAATTGAAACCAACAAGCCATAAATACATATTGGATTTCTCACAAGTTGTAAGTGCTGTGACTTTTTCCCTTCCTTGTGATCCAAGCATCCATTTCATAGCCGCAATGCGATCTCTATGAATTGCTTGGTCTGTGTCAGACAAGGTCACCGACACTTTTGCATACCACTCCGAGGGTCTGCAATGCTACTACTCTTCGTGACTTGACACTTAGAACATAGAATCTAGGGTAGTCCATGGTGGTGCACTGGTGCGTAGGAAAAGCCCCCGTACTGTCTTGCATAGGTGCCTATAGCCTTGTTAGAAATTGGCCTAGGCCTTGTTTAGTTACTCCAAAATCAAACTTTGGTATTATGCAAAAAGAAGATTCTTCGTCATATTAAATTTGCGGTACATATATGGAGTACTAAATGTTAACGAAATTAAAAACTAATTGCACAGTTTAGTTGTACTTTGCGAGACGAACGTTTTGAGCCTAATTAGTAAACGATTGGACAATTATTATCAAATACAAACAAAATGCTACAGTGCGCTACAGTGACGCCAGAATTCAACGGCGCCAATTCGGCCGGCAACTAAACGGGGCCCTAGACTAAAAATGACACGGGGTAGACAGAAACCTTTATGACATTGACGTATGGATTTAGAAAAGCAATAGCTTAAGAGCTACCTTTGGAGAGAAGTATTGGTGGGTCCATGAGGTAAATAACAGTTCGCTTGGTCGTATACGATCGTGGATTATAAGTTAGAATAGTATTTTTCTTGGGTACATGTGGCTTGGGTAGAAAATTAGAGGCTCTATCCATCTGGAGTTATATGGGGCCTACTTTTTGCTAAGACAAACTTTTTTTTGGTAATCATCGTTGATCGTGCTCTAACAGAGTCAGGACATGTTTGATGCATAGAACTAATAGATAGTTAGTACCGTTTTTGTCCCCTTAACATTAATCTATCCATCTTTCCACGTACTCTATTAATAGCTATAAAGTAAATTACATAATAGATAAAACATTCATACATCAACGTTTAATAGATAGTAGGTTAATAGTTATCTACTCTCTCCGTTCTAAAATAAATGCACATCTCGTTTTTCGAGAAGTCAAACATTTTTAAATTTGACTAAAAATATATAAAATAGTATCAATATTTATATCTTTCAATAAATTTATTATAAAGTATATTCTATTATTCATCTAATGATACTTATTATACATCATAAATATTAATAAATATATATATATATATATATATATATATATATATATATATTTGGTTAAATTTTTAAAAAGGTTCAACTTTTTGGAAAATAAGACGTGTGATTATTTTGAGACGGAGAGAATAACTAATATTAATTGTAACTAAAAATTAGTGAACTAACTATTACGGGCTCCCCTCGCTTCAGATTTTTGTTGCTGTTTGAGCTCCAGCTGCACAGCCTATCAGCTGCTGTCTCAGAGGCAGGTGTAGACTGTTTGCTGCTGGTAGGTAGCTGCAGGAACTGTGATGCAGCGCATCAACAGCCAGCACAGCCGATCAAGCTGAGTAGCTGCCAATTGATCCAGCAAAGATTCACACTCAGTCCCGCAAATGCTCTACCGCTCTGAGATGCACCGATGATGCCTAGCTCAGTGCCTCGGTGAAATGCTTCAGTTCCGAAGCGCTATACGAAACAGTACACTGCAAGACAAACAGCAAACGCTACTCTGCGATGCAAATGACAGCACTGTGCAGACTACAGACCTGAAGCATCCATCATCCATTGGTTTCTTTCATCAGCTATGTTGCTGCTGTAAATAATGGCCAAAGTCGGAAATTTCTTGTCAGTAGAAACCATGGAAGACAAACTGCCATCATTAACCCAGCAGGAAAACGACCGAATCAAACAAAAGAATACAAGTTACAGCACAACTAATCATATATTCCTGACAGTAAATACAGATGCACACCTAACTATTTAGTAACTTATACGTCATATGGACAGCACATTGAGTAACTTTAATACATAATATGACTCTATCAGCACATTTTTTGATACAAAAATTTACACTGATCAAGACCTGGAGTTACCCTAGCAACGGCACAGGCATTGAAACAGATTGGCATTGTCAAGCGGACTGCATTCACACTTCTTCACTTCCACTGCTACTGCTGCTTTTCCGAATGTTGTACTTGCACAGGGGGCATGTTGCATTGATGTGAAGCCACTTATCGATGCAGGTGCAGTGGAAATGGTGCCCACAGGGGAGTTCGCGCAACTCTGCACCATCATCATAAGCCGATAGGCAAATACAGCACTCCTGGATAGATAAAGTGAGCAAAGATTACATAAAATATTAATTCACACACAGTATATATTGAACAAAATAATTTGTGCATCTTTCTGCTCTAACCTAGGTTGGCAGCACTGCAATAGATAGTTCATTCAAAGCAAAACCAACTTAGTGGGATAGCATAAAAATGATGACAGAAAATCAGTCTTTACATGTTAACATGGCAATTCACAGAACATATATCAGTACCAAGTGTACAAATAAATGGTACAATACATCGGAATCTTTGTGATGCAGGCCAATTTAGGTTACACGTGGCCAGTGTATTTATCAGAAATCCAGAACCAACAGGTCCATCCACCAAAGACAGTAATGTTCAATGAAGACATATCAATTAATCATGGCCCACACCACCCCACTCAAGAGACAACACACATTACTACATCAGTCATTATGAATGAAAAATATAATCCGTGCTTGTGAAAACTGTAGTTCAAAAGATGTTCAGTGGTAGCAATTCAAGCATCAATAAGGCTAAAGCTATGTAGCATCTATGTTAAAAAATCCAAGCATTAGAACTTACTGCATCTTCAGCTGCAAGCACTTTCTCAATAGGTTGATTGGTGCTGCACTCTGTCATTATTCCACCAAAAGGACCCATGGGGTCAACATCTTGCTTTTCAGGCTCATCGGTCCGCCGAAATTTGTATCTTGGGAATTGACGAATGTCATCTTCAGATGCTCCTTCCTGTATTCAGTGAGATGATGTAGACGGTTATCTAATCAAGAATGACATGTCAACTTCACCATTTGAGTTATATATAGTACATTACACAAGACTTTTTTTTTTTGAAAGGTACATTACACAAGACTTGAAAAGCCATACCTGATCAGATACTGCATAGAGAATTGCTATGATACAAGGAAGGCAACAACAGACAGCAATACCAATGATACAAGCCAGAGCAACGCAGAATACAACAAAAAACACATCAAATGCCAGAAAGACTATGCAAAGCCTGCAAAGTAAGTCATAGCAGAAAAATGTTTAGGTCATAAACAAATGAGATGAGAACACTATCAAAAAATTATTATTGAATTAAGAAACATAGGTACCAGTAAAGTTGAGGTGCATCCCGGATAACCTCTTCACCCCCAGCAGATATCCAATAAAATCCAATTATCCACCATATGAAGGAGAACATTGTATTAGCAGACTCCAAGTGCTTTGCAATACTGCCAGATTAAACCAGTAATAACATCACCAGGTTAAAGAAATACTGGAGTTGTTACATGTCCAAAAAGATCATTTGATGCAAAAGAAAGGGACCAAAGGTGGATTTACAGCTGACATGAGAATAACAGTAGTTATCATGAAGTATGGATGCACATCAAGCATGAGATATAGAAACCAGTTACTAGGATAAAGTATACAAGAGAGGCACAAATGAGAAAACAGAAAGCCCCAGAGTTGACTACAATGTTTACAGTGACACGTAATTGAGACAGCTCCTGTGTAATGCATTCTTTTTTGGAACAAAGAACAACCCTGATAGCCGATGTCATTTATGTAGACATGAAAAAAAAGCAACGCTACATTATAATGTGTCTGCAACTAGAACCAGCATATGTGGCAGTCATACTATAGAAGTATGATTTCTGTTCTGAGAGGCCAAGAGAGCATGCTTCTCATTGTGGTATGAAATATAAGTATGCTTCTCATGACTAAGAAGCATGCTTATATTTAGGCCGTGCTTGGGAGGGCTGCCCGCGCCGCTCCAATGCCGGACCCGGAGCCCCCAAGACAAAGCCACAAATCGTGGCTCCGACACCGTACACGAAAAACGGCTCCGGCTCCTCCCATTCGCGGCCAGAAGCGCTATTCGCTGCTGCTGTGATTGGTGCGGCTCCGCCGGCTCCAGTGCGGGAGCCAGTGGAGAAGCCGATGCGGGAGCCGCACCAAATGGGGGCTTAATATACACCAACATGAGAAGCATGAATTCTTGGATATAATCATGAGTCATAACTAGAGGAATTTTAAAAATTTGATGGCCTGTGCTAAAGGAGTGAAGCAAAGAAAGATAGGTATGAAGTTGGTCAAGATCACACATCATAAAAATAGCAATCAAGTCCACATGACTGAAACATGTGACTTACTCCCTCTTTTCCAAATTATAAGACGTTTTGGCTTTTTTAAATACATAGTTTTTGCTACGCACTTAGATATACACTATGTCTAGATACATAGTTAAAGTAATGTATCTAGAAAAGCCAAAACGTCTTATAATTTAGAACAGAGGGAGTACATATCAAGCACTTGGGGCTGCTGTCATCATTTACTTGGCCTCTCCAAACAGAAGTCATATAGGACGCATTGCATCTCTTAGGTGACTATCTTCTACCGAGATTATTTGTATGATGTGCTCTTTTCTTACATACCGGGCAGGTATGCTGAAGGACAGCTTGAAGCAGCAGGTGATTCAAGGTGCAGAAGATGTGGAGATGGCGGCCATCTCTTTCCACAAGCAAGATGTGCAATTCCGCTCCACCAATGAGCAACAGCTGATCCCGTATGCTGGCTGAGTGCCAAAGTTTGCGTTATGCATAGTCTATGCGCCATTCTGGGCTATATGCCTATATGCCTTGTACAGTTTCCGTTTAAACTTGTTGGGTCGTTTTGTTGGCGTTGCCTTCGTAAGCTTGGGTAGTATTGGTAGTGTGTATCCTTGTGCATGTTCCCTTTGTGATCATGTGCACGGATTCGTCTTATGTTGCTAATCTGGTACTGTGGCACTTAAACTGTGACTTTCTATAATTTCGTTGCCTTGGTAATGAAATTCGATTTTACCGGTGTGGAAAAAGGTGACTATCTTCTACATTCTAGTCTATGCCTCAAAATTTTATGGAACACGCAACACAGCATTGATGTGTATCAATAAGACAACATTGTTGAGTCCTTGCTTTCTTTTTAGACTTAAAATTTAGGATATAACTTACATACACATTTTTTAACTGTGTAAAAGAATTTTGGGCCTCTTTAGGACCCAGTATCCTTGCCATGACACTTTAACTACTCGGTGCCATGTGCCGAGCCAAAATGCTCTACTTTATTATTGATGTATCTTACAATCCTAGGATCATACGAACAAGAAACAGCTGACTCAAAGTGCAATAGAACCCAATTAAACGAGAAGGCCAGGGTGAAAATTCTAGGCACATAATACTGAACTTCAATTCAATACTTTAATGTGCTTCGTTTGCCCTTGCATCGGGGATATTATGTCCAGGTTGATCACAAATGAAATTCTCCAATTTATTCCATTCAGTGACACTATAACTACGATAAGCACACTGAATATTTCACTAGAAGCTACACTACCACCCGCCTGTATTGGTCCAGTTAAGTTGGGATAAGAATAACACGATACATGGATATTAACGTAGATGTGCTGTGCATAAGCAGCTTTAGAAATATTTCCGAGCAGATCCATCAGGTTACCTGGCGTAATCGGTGCGGCGACCATGGCGATCGAGCTCCCTGTCACCCTCATCACTGGACGAGGACGATCCGTCGCTGCCCCTTTCCTCGTCAGCAGGCGCTGCGCCGGCGCCGCCGCGCTGGCCGTGGCGCATCCGGTACTCGATTGCGACGCAGACCATGTGTACGACGCGCTGCAGGGCGTAGCCGGCGACCCAGGTCCGGAGCGGCATGGGGAGTCCTCGTCGCGGCTTAGCACGAGCACGACCGCAGCGACGGTGATGAAGGCGAGGTTCCAGAGCAGGTCGAGCGCCACGGCGGGGCGGGAGTAGGCCCAATCAGCCTGCCGCTCCTCGAGGTGCTCTGCGGCGGCCTCCCGCACCAGCACCGAGGGTTCCCGCATGGCCCGCCGCCCGGCGCGGCGCAGCAGCCGCGCCGCGCCGCGGAGGGAGGGCCGGCGGAGCGCTCCGCCTCGGCGACGGCTCCCGCCGCCGGAGGCACCGCCCAGCAGCGGCGCAGAATCGAGGGGCACGTCGGCACGGGGGCTCGGAGAGCCGGGCGTCGCCATCGAGGGGAACCCCGTGAGAGATCAGGAGGAAGGAAATGGTCTCTTCTTCCGGAGAATGGAATTGGGACGGGTTTGGGGACTCTGGAGTCGTTTCTCTAGCTTTCTCTTTTTTTTTCTAATTTTATTTAATATACAAAACTCAAAATTAGACCATTAAAAAAAAGATAATTTTGTTCTATTTGAACCCACGAATCTATGGGTCCCTTTGGTTAAGCTGGGAAAGTGCTTTTGCTTTTAAGAAAAGTCAAAAGCTAAATCAAAGGGATGAGCTTCTAAACCTCTACTTTCACAAAAGCAACTTCTCTCATTCTCCACAGCCATCCGAGACGTGCTTTTTCCGGCTGTGAGGGCGGACGGTTCGCAAAAATTACCCGCAATGCCACGGGTTATGAGCGTACCCCTTCGTTTTTCTTTGCCACCGACGCCTCTGTCGCTCTCGCTCCCCATCCGTGCCTCCTCTGGTCCTGCCCGACGCCTGCTGCGCTAGGGTTTTGGCGCGCCCTCCGACGGCGGTCCGGCATGCCCTCCGGCAGCGGCGCCGCCCATCTGCCTCCCCTCAAGCCGGCGGCGGCGCTCCACCCACCGAATCGAGAATCCACGGCCCTCGTCGTCCTCCCAGCGAGCCCACGGCGGCGCCCCTCGTTCACCTCCCATGAAGCCGGCGACAGCGGCGCCTCGTCCTTCCCCGGAGCCCGTCGTTGACCTCCCGATCTACACGCCACCAACCTCCCCTTCCAGATCTGGTGAGGTAACTCCTCCGACTCCCCTTCCACCTGCATCTGTGTTTCCACTGATCCATTTAGAGGAACAAGTGTAGGTATCTAAGTTGGAACTTTGAACATATGGTCTAGGTGGAACCATCTACCAAGCATACAAATCTGCTTCGTTTTCTAGGGCTAGTAATAATGAGGAAAACAATGGGGATTATAGAACAGAAGTCTGATAATGACTTGTTTTTTTTTTTCGAGTCTGATAATGACTAGATCACTAGCTTACAAGAAAAATAACCAATTGCTTCTAAATACTCCTCGCGATGGATTATTTCCTGTAGTTTCCAAAAGAATGAATTATGAACCTAAATGTTGGCAAATCACACATATGCAATGTTGTACTGATTAAAGAAAGACAGAGAGGATGCAATGCATAAGGCAATCACCTGGAGTTTAGACCCTCGGGTAAGGGGAAATGTTGATAAGCCAAGTTCCTTTGCAAACCTTAGGGTGTGCTTGGTTTGAAGGCAACGGTTTTGGGGATGGGTTTATATGTAGTCAATTTTCTGTCGGTTGATTTATATACAATGAACAATATGCGAATAGATATGGCTTTCTTTTAATATGATCATGCAAGGGCAGTGAATGCTGAATTTGTGTAAGAGAAATAAGAAGCCCTTATTTTATCCATTGTATATATTATTAATTAATTTTCCCCATGAGTATCCACAACTTGCAATCTCCTCCCAAGTATTGTTTGGCTGCTGAACAACATTATGAGACCTGGGCCTGGTAATCCCCCATGGCCTGATGGAAAAGGTGTGAGTGGTCTTCACTTTATATTTCAACAACAATCCGTGTCTTATATTATTGAAGTGATATTTGACTAAATCACAGCAATGGAATGTGCAGCTTAAACACATGCACAAGGCAAGAATGTAGAGGGTAACTTTAGTTTGCGGGGTATTTTCAGCCTAAAATTGTCAGGGCCCCATCATATGTCTATCTAAGATCAGATGTGTCATAGATGAATAAATTACTACACATGTGTAGCTAGTGTCAAGGATATCCATAACTAAAATAAAAGGTGTAGGCATGAGTAACTGGTTTCAGATCCATATCTATCAAACTCAATGAACATCTGGCATATTGGTGTGATACCAATGTGACCTACTTTTGTTAGTTCTACTATATGCTGACACATCACTGTTTTCTTAACTCTCCTAAAAAGATGGCTGATAAGGCAGATTGGTGTGATACCAATGTGAGGCATTTCATTGACATATGCAAAGGAGAGATAGAAGCTAGGAATAGACCCTTGGGATTGTTCACTAGGACTGCTTGGAAAAATCTGGTAACTAAGTATGAAGAAAAAATTGGGCTGAAGCAAACAAAGAAACAATTGAAGAATAAGTTGGACAATATGAAAAAGAAATATACATGATTTATGGAGTTGAAGAATTCTGCCACCGGTCTTGGATGGAATGAGGCAAAGCAAACTGTTGACTGCTCCAACGAATGGTGGGATGAACACCTAGCTGTAAGAACTGTGTACCGTCCTTTTCATTTACAATTATGCATTTTGAGTATATGGGCTGACTTGTTAACTTTATCCATTTAATTTCAGAGATGCAACAATCCTGATAAAGGTATCAAATGCAATCATGTTAGGTTCAGAAAACAAGGACCGAAGCACCTTGATGATTTTCATATGTTGTTTGATAAGATACATGTTAGCGGGGCAAGTGCATCCTGTCCTGGAGATATTTCCTCCGATGACTCAAGTGATGAGGATGTGGGTGAGATACAGAAACCTCTATATAATGATGATGTCAAGTTGGCTGCTTTGAAAAAAATCGAAACCAGGAAAAAAGAAACAAAAGGAGTCCTCTACTGCTACTGACGAAAAGGATGAGAAGAGCCCATTCTTTCGCATATACAAGAACACATGTTTGAAGATAGAAACTACAGCAGAGAAGATCTCCACAAGTGTTGAAGCATCATCTGCACCTCCAACCAGCCAAGTCCCTAGCATTGCAGAGGCCATGAAGATGGTTAAAGATTGTGGGGTGCAAGAGAAAACAGCTCTAATGCATACAACCACCTTTCTGATTATGAAGCCTGAATTTAGGGAAGTCTTTAGCATGCTGGAAACAAAAGAAGGAAGGTTTGACTTGCTTGAGAGGGAGCATGCAGAACGCATGAGGCGTACGTAGAAGCTTTCAGTTATTTATTTTTAGTGTTGTGTTGTGAGAACCATTTATTTGCTTCCATATTCAGAACCATTTGAAATAATGTTGCCTGTACTCTGAACCAATATTTTCCTGAGTTATTTGCTTCCATGTTCAGAACCATTTGAAATAATGTTGCCTATACTCTGAAATAATATTTTCCTGAGTTATTGCTTCCATGTTTGATCTGTCAATATTTTGATTGCTTCCATCCCTAGTGTTGTACGTGTTTTGATTGCTGTCAATATTTTCCTGAGTTTTGATTCCTGTCTTATGTAGATGGATGGCAACATGGAGGATTTGGCAAAAAATGGACAAAAGGGACTACTGCTTCTTGCAGAACTGTCGCAGCAGGCTGCCATTATTGGTGAAATGGGTTACCAATACACCGAGCGGTATTTGCACAAAGGAAAGTATAGGGAAACACCAGAAACTGGACTTCAATGGGTTATGAGATGCATGGGTCGTCCGAGGTACTTCTATAAGATGTTTCGAATGAGCACTGATGTTTTCATGACACTACATGACTTGCTAATCTTGAACTATGGCTTAACATCAACTAATAATGTATCATTAATGAAGTTATTGGCAATGTTCTTGTGAATCATTGGAGGACCGGAATTATTTTCACAAGCTGAAAATCGTTTTACCCGATCACTCTGGACAGTTCACACTAAATTTCATGAAGTACTGAATTATCTGCGCAAGTTATCAAAAGATAATATCAAGCCAAGAGATCCTACTTTCTGTACTGAGCATGATAAGGTCAAGGAGGAACGTTTCTGGCCTTATTTCAAAGGAGCTATTAGAGCTATTAACGGTTCACATGTTCTAATAGCAGTGCCAGCAGACGAAGTGGTCAACTACACATGTCGATATGGCTACACATCTCAGAATGTGCTAGCTGTTTGTGATTTTGACATGATGTTTATTTTTACGGTTGTTGGTTGGCCAGGTTCTGCACATGACACGCATCCTGAACCATGAGTTAGCAAATTTTCCTTTATTTCCCGTGCCTCCTAAAGGTATGCATGTTTCATTACTAGTTGTCAATATTTCTATTGTTATTTGGCTTTGCTGATTTGGTTTTATAGGTAAATACTATATCGTGGACTCTGATTATCCAAACCGAATAGGATATCTTGCTCCTTTTAAAGGAAGCACATACCATATACAAGAGTTTCGACTTCGTAATGGATGTGCTCCTCAAGGAAAGAACGAGGTGTTCAATTTCTTGCATTCATCTCTTCGAAATGTCATTGAGCGGGCTTTCGGGGTCTTGAAGCAGAAGTGGCGTATTTTGAAGGGCATTCAAAGTTTTCCTACTCGAACTCAGAAGCATATAATTCTACCTTGTATGACATTGCATAATTTTATTCGTGACACCAATTTGGAAGACAAGTTGTTCGATAGATGTGATGGTGATGAGGAGTACCTGCTACAACACAGTGCCACGGCAGACACACAAGAAGATGACAATCAAGATAGAGAGAATGAGGACACCATGAATACCATTCGCAGTAGGATAGCCGATGCTTTGGTTAGTGCGAGAGGGAGATGGTTATGTTGAAGAAGGACATCATTATGTGAACCATATGTCTTTTGTAATATTCTATAATTTCATATATGTGAACCATATGTTAATGGTGAATGAAAATCTTTAAGAAAATTAATTTTTTCTTTCTAAAATGGTAATTTGCATGCGAATTAGTGAACAAAACAATGTTTTACAATAAATTTAAATGTCAGCATTCTTCTAGAAGTTCAAAGGCATTACAGACATTTCTTACCAAACCTACAGCTTCACAGCCATTCTAACCAAATGGCTTTCAATTTTCTCATAGCTCACAGCTCACAACGCTTTTTCTCAGACTCACAACCCATATTAGCTTTTTTTACAGCCACAGTCCAACCAAACAGACCCTATATCTCTTGTATAAAGCTAAACCCCACTACAGGTTTATCTCAACATATAAGGTATCCACATCATTTTCTATTACCTATCCACATCACCTCTACTAATAGCCATGTCATCCACTAATTTTCAATCTCTTAATAC